AGACCTATGTGGTCAAAAACTTTGCCCATTGTGCTGCAAAATTTAGAAAAATGTTAAAAGAAAAATCCTAGTTCGTACGCTAAAACGCTGCTGAAATACTGTTCCGTTAAAACATTAACATAAGCAAAATAAGTTGCAATGAAATGTGTTACAAGAGAAAAAATACAACATTTGAATATTTACAGGTAAAAAATCAATACTACTAGTAAGCAATATGCTATTCTAATTAAGGTAAATATATATATATTGAATGATCTAAAATTCATTGAATTCGAAAATAAGTTTTTCTAATACTTGCGCAATAGCTGCAAAGTAAGATAATAATAATTTATTTACTGAAGAAATATTGATTATATTATCTCCTAATATAAATTTACTAGAATGTATCAAAAAGAGGGAACCCATATGTAGGAAGTTTAATTCCGAAAATTCTGTTTTAAAGAAACTTGAATGTAAATCATGAAAAAAAAACTTTTTAAGGGGACTTGAATTTAAATCATTAATAACAAAATTTTAAATTTTGAAAAAAGAAATTTAAAAAATTAAAAAACAAGTAATTATCGCTATTGATCGGAAATTAGTTGACTTTTCATAGGGAACAAACCAACTCCCGTTCAATGAACAATAATTAATATATGCGAAGGTGTTTCGTCCTTTACTCAAGTAAGAATGATGATGCCAAACTGGCAAATTAAGTTAGGTCAAATTGTAGTTCCGTGAAGTGATGGGATTCATAGCCAAAGTAGAGGATCAAAGAACTCATTCTGAATGAAGCATTTTCGCTAGTACAAGATTCTTTAGAAATTTTGAGTGAAAAGTCAATTTATGTAGTAAAATTTACAAGATACTTGAGTAAATGTCCCCCGACACCTTCGTTTTTATGCATATTAATACAATTAATATGCATAAAAACTGTATAAGACTATTTTTTATAAAAATAAACATAATAAATAGTAGTAATCTTAACATGGAATTATGAAATAGAACTCAAAGTAATTGAAATAAACATGAGAAAAATAAGAAACATAACTATGCTATCTTTGCAAAAACAAATCAAATAAAAGTTAAAAAATTGAAATATATGTAATAAGAAATAATGAAATGTACATGAAAATGTAAAAGGCCAGAAAATGCGTTAACTTACGTTCTTTTTAGTGGGAAACGCCGGTAGCAAGATCGGAAAACCAAATAATTACAGGTGACAGGAAACTAACCACGTGTCTTCATAAACACTGTCTGTCTCAAATGAGGAGGCGAAATTCAGTTTAAAGATTTACCACTAATTTCCATTCTAGTGAGGACTATGGAAAGGAGAAATTATAGTAAAGGCTGAAATCAAATTAACTGGTTAACCTAGCATAAGATTCCCTACATTTTTCCCACCAGAAATTAAATAATCGCAATGAAGGTCTTCAACGACTTCGCTAAGATTTTAAATTCTAAAAAACTACAACATGGACCAACTTTTACAATTATGAAGTTAAGCATTTAAAACAAAATTAAAACTTTATAAGGTATTTCTCCCACTTTCCTAGCGTCCTTCGTGGTGTAGTGGTTCTGCTCGCTGGGCCGGTATTCCAGAAGTCCGTGGCTCAATTCCCGGGGAAGGCGGCTGCTATTTTTCATCTTGCCTGCTTCCAAAAATATCCTAATGTCTCTACAACTTTTACAGATGTCTAGATTTAATCGGACAAAACTTCGAGACATCACTAATTTAGTTCAATCTCAACACTTTCCTGTCGTCTCGAAAGAAAAATAGTTTATCAAGAAAACGTTTATACATTTCAACTTGCTATTTATAACCATTAAAATCTTTTAAACTTTTGTTTCCTCTTTAACTCAATTTCTCACCTCCTGCTTTCCAGCATTGTAATATATGCAAGTACATGTGAAAATGTGCAAAGTTTGCAACAAACTACCTGCTAACCGAAATCTTGCACTGTGAATTGCGTAGACATACTAGACCTCAACAAAACCATATTTCAAGACTGTATACCTAACCTTAATTTTCACTAAATTCAACTACTTGAATTTACTAAGCCAACTTTTACGTTACTTCAAATCATTGTCGATTGCTAGCTTGTACTTTAAATTTATACAAACAATTAACAAACAAACTTTATGAAAAACATTAATACAGAATTACAGAATACTTTATATTCAAAAGCTTATTCAGTTTGCACTTTACATCACAATAATATAATTTGCTAATATCTATTCTGAAATTTTGCCAAACTTTCCTGAATACAGTCTCTTGGACTAAGATCACAGTTTCATGTTTACACTAAAAATAAGTCTTTCAAGATAGATACATAATTAAATTGAAAATGCTTCTTGCCTTCCGAATATTTTTAACCGAAGGAAAATTTTTTATTTATAAAAGGTGCGTATTCCTCGATATTTGAAAATCGATGATGACAATGAAAAACATTCTTTAAATTTTTTATGTGACGCAAGCATGTATGCCTATGAGGCAGTAGCCTTTTTCCGAGTTGAAACTAGTGAATGTGTCAAAGTACAGATGTTAAGTGCTAAATCCAGAGTTTTCCCAAATGAAAATAAAAAACTACTATGGCTAGATTAGAGTTATTATCAGCCACAATCGCTTCTTGCCTTTCTTTTAACAGTTGTGTGTGAGATTCCATATGGAGAAGTTTACTTTTGGACGCATTCCACTACTGTATTTACTTGGATTAAAAGAGAAGAAGTGTGGGAAACCTTTGTTCAAAATCGAATATGTGAAATTAGAACTCATTCTAAGGAGAATGGAGATATGTGCCAGGAACATTAAACCCTGCTGATCTTCTACACAGAGGCTGTTTTGGAAGGAAAATGATACAGCCAAAATGGTGGGAGGGCCCGGATTGGTTATATTTATATGCTGAAAAATTGCCTTCTTCAGAATTTGTTCTGAATGAAGATGAAGTTTTTAAGGAACGGAAGAAAACTGTTGTTTCATTTTCAACTACCTTAGATAAAAGATAATAAATGTAGATATTGATAAAGATACAACTCAGATACCTACTCAGAAAAAAAAATGTAGATACTGATTGGTACTATCATTACATTTTCACAGTATGAAAAAATTGTACGCATGATTGGCTGGTTTTGAGATTTTTGGAAAATTGAAAAAAATCGAAAGAGTTGAGAAAACAAAGTCTGAAAGCAAGAAGCTGAGCAAAGAGTAATAAAGATCATTCAAAGAAAAGCATTCTTAGACGAGAAAGGAAGAAACTGAGAACACTAAAAGTTCATAAAGATGAAGATGATCTCATTAGATTAAGAACAAAAATTGTCTATCGAGAAGACAACCATTCTTTTACAAGGAAGTCTTTTACAATTATATTCTTTTAGAACAAGGTCCTTTAATTCTCCCTTCTTAACACCAGGTTATAAAACTTTAAATACTTTCTTTTCGTAAAAGGCATGGACATGAGAGGACTCAAATAGTACTTGATCTTCTAAGGGAAAATTTCTGGATTTTCTGGACATTATTTGAGTTTAGAAGAGTAGGAATATCGATTTATGACTGAGCTTTGAAATTGATATCTGACACATTGAGTCATTACATAGATGTGATATAAATTAATGTAAACTAGCTAATATGCAGTGAAATACTGGTATGGGATCGCCTGTTCATATAGGATGAAATATAACAGCATTCGGAGATACTTTGGTACAATTTACAGAAATTTTCGACGTAATTAATCTTACTCAAATTAGCGACTTTATTATGAAGAAAAACTAAGCTAAGTAAGCTGTATCAATATCATAAATTTGTTAATATCTTCAACGATTGTAGCTGCACGATTGCAACTTATATCTTCATTCATGGGCTATTGTGAGCACTGGATGAAATCCCTTTTCCCTCTTTGCAGCCTTACCTTCTCTCATTTTGAAACCGGACGCGTAATGGCAGGCAACACATTCGGTTAATGAATGTTGAAAATTTGGTGCAATTTTAAAAGAAGATCATACGGCATATGATTGATATTCTGTTATCTGGGCGGGCATAAACAGTTCGGTGTTTTAAAACTTGTTAGATTGTAAGTTATCAATAATTTCTTAAAAGTAATATTGTTTATCACATTGGAAAAATTAAGGAAGCTAAAACTACAGCAAAAAAATTAAAAGCAGGCTTTCAAGTAGAAATGATATTAATGCGATTCGCCGAAAGCGAGTAGTAGTTTATCACCACTCATAAACGACTTCTTTTTTTAAGTATTCGTAAAGGCAGAACTCGTAGCCCGATAGTACGGCGTACAGCAAGAGCGTGGGCTGACAGTTCGAGCCCCCATTTCACTCTTGCAAGGACTTTTTCCATCTTTTCCTGGACCAACTAATCAATTGAGTTCGGGCATGGCCTTTTTCTCGATGTCGGATGATTGGTGTACATCAATTTTTTGTTTGATGTTTCTCCTTACTACCGCAAATGGGCACGTGCATATTTTAATCAATTGGTAAAAACTCTTGGTAGTTGAGACCAAGTTACAAAGTCACGATCTACGATCTAATTTGCTTCATTAACCTGGAGTGTAATTATCGATTGTAAACTACGCAAATTTTCGTTTCAGAAGGATTACAAAACAGGAAACATTACAACATATATCAGCTGAATGTTTATTGTATATACTTCTTAGGAATAAAATCAATCGAGTATTTACTATATGTTCCATTTGTATGTACTTTAACAAATTAAGGAATAAATTCAGTTTAAATAACTGAATTAAAGTCAAAGAATTATTATAAATAATTGCTATTACATGTAATGTTTATGAACAAAATAAACCAAAATGAAATGAAACAAAAACAAGTGCAATAAGCACAAATTTCCGTAGTATTTCAATTGTAAACAGTAGATAGACGTAAATTACGAACATGTTTGTGTCGCTTGTATTTCCTCCGACGACAACGGAACACCACAGAGCATGCGCAGTAAGCGAAACTCGTTTCGCCATTACGCTAAGCGGGATATGAGCCAAAGTGAGACTCGGAGATCTAGACGTTTGTGTAGAAGATGTTCTGTTGTGTATTTTAATAACTTGGCAACATTGCAGCCTGTAAAGCTGCGATTGGTCGCGCGAAAGTTTAATGGTGTTTTCTTCGATTTTCTTTCGAGTTGACCATTAGATTTCATTTCGTTTGGAAACTCATGTAGGTACTTTATTTTTCGAAATTTTGGTAATATTATGGAGTGTGAATATTAATTTTTAATTATTTGCATGTAAAAAAATTATTTTCCACTGCTATATACATATTTTATATTTCATTATGTGTTTAATAATTTTAATGTAATTTATATACGTTTATTAGCTGCTTTATTTTTTAGTTTTTTCTGCATGTTGAATTTATTATTTTGACGATTCTTCCGTGTCTAAAATATTAGTAATTTCGCTCAGTACTTTGGGGAGTAACTCTAAATTACAAATCGAAAGTAAATGTACCATGTTCGATAGATGATATCCGAAAAGAAAAATAAATATACCTTCTTGCTGACTTTTTAATGCTTCTGATATTTTACTGAACCAAACGCATAGCCTTTGGATTTAAAGCTGCCATGCTCTTCATGTAGAATCATAATCCATTATGACTTTGACGTTTCATATTACTACATTTTAGTTCTTTTATCAGTTCATTAACTACTTATGTTCTAGTGAACTTATAACATCGAAACTGCGATTTATTTTAAATGTAACTTTTTTAAAAACCACAATTTAATACTAAAATAGCAACTAATCGTGTTAATATTTCACATATTCTAAGGTATTTAGGGTACATTACAAAAATGGATACTTTTTGTAAAATTTGAATTTTCGTTTTCTTCAGTATTTTTGTACATTCGTAGCAATTCTGAAATGCATATGGTTTATAGATTCCTGAAGAAATATTTGTATTAACATCTGTTGATAACAATGTTCTTTAAATATATCTAACAAATGGCAATTGCATTTATACTTGTTTAGTGTAAGAAATTATTATACTTTAATTTTATCTTATATAAATTTTATGCAACTTCCTGCCTCATGCAGATAGTTCTGTTGCTCGGCATGTTTCTTCAAGAGATATGTATGTCAGAACTTTTGGCAAAATTTTAGTATTAAGTCGCAGTAGGATGCCAATTATCTGAACCTATGGAGGTCTATTGTACAGTGCAATTGAAAAGTTCCTGAATTCTAATCTTCAATAGTACACCTTTATATTAGTGCTGAAAGAATATTCTTTTTGGGAAAATGTTTCAAATGACCCCTATCTTCAGTACACAAATCTGCATGACAACATATATTTCTGATTATTTTCTTCTAAATACTATACTGTAATTCTATTTTTCACTGTAATGGACATGAACTGTTCAGTGATGATCAAAACACTTACCTAATTAGTAACGCCTTACTTTAGAGAGTAATTTTCATGAATGTTTACCATCATTAGTGTAAATAATAATTATAAGCAGAATGTCAGGACTTCTGAATTACATTTTATTTTGGTTATTAAAGGATAACGTAAAATTTTTTTGAACCAGTGTAGTCAAACTTGCTATTTTGTACAGCAGTAGTAATTATTTTCTTCTTTGAATTACGTTAATTTTTTAACCTTAAAATCTTAGTGTTTTTTAATTTCGATGAAAAACTTTATTTATTGAATTTATTGAATTATTTACAATCAAATCCAACTCAAATTACAGAAACTTTACAGTCAAATCCAAAGTCACAATGGCTTTGGATTTGACTGTAAAGTTTCTGTAATTTGAGTTGAGATAATCATCGTTTTATGCATGGTATCAACATTTTTATTTTGTGTTGTGGTTTCAAACAATTATGCTTAGATTTCAAGACTAGAATGTTTTTTATCTTGATCATCCACTGAACAAAGCTGGCATTTAGAAAACTGAAATAAAATTTCTAGTTTGTTGAATTATAGTGATTAAGATGTCTAGCTTCAGTACTTGCCATAAACTGCTTGAAAACGAGTTGTAAAATAATTAATTGAATTAGATTAAATAATTTTTTCTTTTTTTTTTTAATCAAAAGAAAACTCCTCCCCCCTTCCTCTTCAGAGAATATGATGGTTAAAATAGGATTTTCTTTAGCGGTAATGTGAATGCAAACCACTTTCTTTCAGAAGATCCTCTACAAAGGCATTCGTTCTCCTAGGACGATATCTTGATGTGTTATAGTTCAATGGGATAGCCAGTTATCAAAATTAGAAAGCCTTAAAACAGAATTTGTTAAACTGTGTGATGCATTTTATAGAACAAGCGAAATTTCTTCATTCAGTGATAATCAAGCAATATATGAAATTACTGGTCTATTAAAACATAATTAAAAGTGAAAACGGTTAAAAGTTGTTTTGATATCAGTCTTTGAACTAAATGTTGGATCATATTTCTATTACAAAACTAGCATGTCATATTACTTGTCATGGTTGTAGTTTTAGTTATCTGTACTGCAAATTAATGCAAGTTTTTTTTTTTTTTTTTTTTTTTTTTTTTTTTTTTTTTACATTTGTTTCTTTGTGTGCATATGTGTGTTTTGTGCAATGATTTCTACATCTTTATATGAAAAAGGAATATGTATTTTATAGAAAAATATGTAACACACACTGCGTACTATATAAATAAATTGTGGCTAAGTAAGATTAATTAAATTCAATGTATATCGTCGAAAACATTTTTAATCGATTGAAGGCTTGCATCGGAGCAATACAAGGCATTCTAATTTTGTGCTGGGAAGCATAATGTAAAAATATTTCTAAAGCGTAAAACACATTCCTTTAAGAACGTGCTCAATTTAGAAGGAAGAAAGCCCCACTTCTTTGGCATTCAGAAGCAGCCCTCCCTTTTTTTTGCGGGGACAGGAACAATCAATTTCATTTAAGAACACAAAAATAAAAGAAATGGTAGAACTATAATTCTTACCAGATATAGGAATGTTTGATAAAGAAGTCTATGACCTGCAAAGAACCAGGATGAAGTTTTGTGAAAAATGAAATTAAACGTTTTTTTAACCCCCTGCAGTAGCTATAAAAAGGCTCATTCATGCTGTGTATGAAATATATTCGTGTGTGCTTAGCATTTCAAGCCTGCCAATGACTGAGTGGTTAGAGTTACTGAACACTTTTAATTCATTCTGGGTTCTGTTTCAGTCAACTCTCCAGAGAAGAAAGAGCAGCAAATAAATTTATGTAAATGCAGATCATCATTCACATACAGAAAAATAAATAAGGTTTAAGACTACATTGCATTCTTTTCGTTATAAGTTACTCATATATACTATATTATACACTTCTTTGTAGTAGCATAAAGAGAAGTAAAAGTTAATATCATTTTTACGAAAAGAAAACATTTCTCGGAAATGCTGCTCTATTAGATTCAATTCCACTGTGAAATTTTATTGTGTAGTCATTGGTCAAACATACATTTCCAGTTTCAAAAATATTTTAAATGATGAAAAAATTCATATTTTGGCACTGAAAAAAAATCAGTCTTTTAAAACGTATGAAATCTTAACTTTGTTTCAACTGTTACACAGTTTTATTTAGGAAAATTTTACGGATTATAAAAAATAAAACACAGAAAGCTTCCCTCTATTAAAAAGAATCTGATGGGCACACCATATGACGTCTTTGTACAGAATATTAAATTATACGCAATTTTTCTGCATTCCATTTAAACTTATTTCCGCGAATTTCATTAGATATATTTCTCATTCAATTAATTCTGTTCTCAGTTCGCGGCAAGGCAAAAATACATAAAACCTGAAAATATCTTCATTAAAAATTGAAATATATATAAATTGTTTTTACTATTAAAATTAGAGTTTCTACCCAAAAAATGCAATTTGGCTGGCAGGCAACAAGGCAGATTTTTCAGCGCACAAAAATGAAAGTTTATTTATGATCCCACTCGGCAAAAAGATGTTGAAAGTGCAAAAACTGAATTCTTTGTTCTGGTGGTAAGTTTCAAGCAAAAACAAATATGGCTACTATGGTAAACCAAAAAAATCTTATGTGTACACCACATGACTTCCTTTTCGGAATATTAAATTATACGCAATTTTCCTGCATTTCATTTAATTTTGAATTAAATCTACTTCGTCAAGAGCACATAAAACACACTAGAATAAATGCACTCTTTAAAGTTCATTATATTTATTTATCATAGCGACACTTCGGCGCTAGATTCACTTAACAGCGTTACATCTCGTTCATTTTATAACTCAGAGAATACAAAAATTATATCACGTATATAACAAGAATTACCACATGTTCTATTCAAATACTATCATAAATCTTTAACGATGTCTAAAAGAAATTAAACAAATAAAAAATAAACAGTTTTTAACACGATTCAGCACCGCTCACCTAATGCGCATGCGCTACTAATTAATTCAATTCTCACTTCGCGGCAAAGCAAAAAAATGCATAAAATTTCAAAATATTTTTATTAAAGATTGAAAGATATAGAAAAACATAAAACACCGAGTACAGTTAAAACTATTTAAAAATTTTACGATAAAAATTACAGTTTCTACTCAAAAACGAGGTAATAACTTAAATGATAATTCCAGAATGAATTAACAAACATATAAGAATTAGTTTACAAACATATAAGAATAAAGAAATTGAGCTCATTAAGCCAAATAACAGAGTGGATATATATATATATATATTCCACTCTGTTACTGTATATAAATATATGTATATATATATGTGTGTGTGTGTGTGTGTAAGAAAAAGAATATGTAAAAAATTAAATTAGCAGCGTAAATTAGTTTCCGTTCTCTCTTCTAAAAATAGCAACATCTATTCGCATTTCGTCATTTCGAGAAAACTCTATGCCATATGACTCTTAAGTAATTATGATAATGTAAGCGGTACTAAAACTCTTAACAGCCAATAATAATTTTACAGCAATATTAACCATCCAATCAAAATGCTTTGAAAACCAAAACTAACTCAGTCTGACTTAAAATTTCATCCTGTCGACTTTTTATAAATATGTGGGGGGGGGGGATATGTAAGAAAAAGAATATGTAAAAAATTAATTTACGCTGCTAATTTAATTTTTTGCATATTCTTTTTCTTACATATATATATATACACTTTTGGTGGAGCCGATTACAATTAAAATGGGAGGTGCACATCTACATGTTATA